AGTTTTATCAACAGATGATAAGACCATTAAAATCACACAAAATATTGGATACTTTTCGGCTAGTGTTAAAAATAAGTCAAATAGTTAGACTTTTGCCAAGTAAAGAAAGACAACCAAAGTTCGTGTGAAAATAGAAATCTTCCGAAATTAAGCAGCTAAAAATATAGTTTCTCTATTAAACAGAACAGAGTCGACTTAAATCGATTTAGATTTTTTGTATTCTTTTATCAATTGGGTATAGGACAACGAAAATCACACTTAAAATTGCATACTTTTAGGCTAGTCTGAAAAAAATAAATATTTGCCGAGAATTTATGATCACAAAATGGAAAATTAATTGTGAAAAGTCCAGGAATTTAGATTTCAAACTTAAAATCGATTTTCGGTAAATCAACTTTTACTGAAATCTATTTTTAAATTTTGTAACAATCGGAAAAAATTGTTTTTGAACCAATTTTAGATTCCAAGATCATAGATTCTGGGTTTACTTTTTCACAACAAACGATGAACTGAAGGTCATGTTTCATATTTCCAATTCCAATAACTTTGGGAGAAATATTTCTGACAATATTTATTTATATACAAATTGGTTATAGAAATCGACTCTACATAAAAGAGCGGAGAGAAATCCGCACCAAAATCGGCCTCAGTGACCCCTTCTCTCTTGGCCCCCAAAAGTTATTACTTACATATTATTCATTAACATGTATATTTCCAAAAAATCAAATGTTAAAACATTTGTTTTCAACATAATCGAAAACAAAACAAAAAAATTTGCATTCCTATCAACAATAATCTACAACGTTTTTCTCCACCCACCCCACCATCCTTTTAGGTTAAGTATTTTTGTGCAATTTTTTTGAACAAACCAGACTAGATCAACTAAATTCTATTCATAATTTTTTTTTTGTTTTTACAATTAATTCAAAAGACCCCTCTATTAATATTAATAACAACAAAAAAAAAAAAAAACTAAGTGAATAACTTACATACATACATGCCAAAAAAAAAACAATTAGTTTTTTCCTCTTAATTTCCTCTCAAATCAGTTATCATTATGCAAAAGTTTTTACTACACTTTTACTATATTTTAAAATTAAATTTTTATTATTGTTATTATTATGTATTGTATTTCTGAATATTTTTGTAATTGTTCGTATGAAAAAAATGAGATAAAATGTATACGAAAGCAAGGTATATAATTAAACAAATACAGTTTCAGTGAAATTCGTGTTATTAACAAAAACCTGAAAAATATACAAAACATTTGATTGCATATTATTTTTATAGTGTACATATAAAGGGGAACAATTATTTGTAATCTAAAACGATCTTAGAACAAAAAATACCTAGCCTATGCCTTTATTAATGAAAGTTATTCCTAAGGTCTTCTGGCTATCAACGTGTCTTAAGAGGTGATTCGAGATACAAGATATTTTAAAGATTTTTTCAGACATGAACGGACTTCAAAACTTTCAATAAGTGCCATTTATATAAAAAAAATCATTGTCAAATTAGAAAGCATACCCTATGAAAATAATGAATTTTCTTTCCAAAAGAATCCTCTCCCATCGATCCTTTTTAATACCCTCAGCCATATGGCTAGAGAGGGTATATATCATTTGATACGGTCAAAACGTGCCTAGTCGAAATAACGGTTTTAGACCCTAGGTCTCTTTGGACCGAATCCGTTTCAGGATATTTGGAGTCGATCTAGCGATGTCCGTCCGTCTGTCTGTCCGGCTGGCTGGTGCGCACGATAACTCTCGAAGGGAGTATCCGATTTGATCCAAACTTGGTACATCGTAATATTTTTGTCAAACTTAGATCAAGTTTGGAGATGAGCAATATCGATCCACTCCTTCTGATACCTCCCCTCAAAAGGTCGAAATTGTCAAAAAATATATTTTCTGCACAAAACTAGAAACGAGAATTCGATTTTGCTTCAAAGTTGCAAAATCTTAATATTTGCGTCAGTGCTATGTCAGGTGTAAAAATGGATGATATCGGTCCACTCCATCAAGTGCCTCCCCCACAAAGTGTAAAAATTTTGAATAATTATAAATCTTATGAAATGTGATGTAAGAATCCTATTGTCTTCAAATTACACACATCATAATATTTTTATATACCCAAGTTCTGGTGTTAAGATGGAATATTTCGGTCCACTCCTTGTGGTACCTCCCCCACAAAACGTCGAAATTTTTAATATCCATTTAGTTCATAAAACGCGAAATTAACATCCGATTCCATTTAGACTTGGCACATCTGAAAATTTCTATCAACAAAGAATATGTAATAAAAACGGGAGAAATCGGACCCGTCCTCCTGGTACCTCCCTCACAAAAAACCAAAACATTTATAAAATCCAAAATAAGCATCGGGTTCTCTTTATATTTCACACATCCCATTATTTCCATTAACAAAAGATCTGTTGTGAAGATGGGATATATCGATCCAATCCTTCTGGTACCTCCCCCACAATGGATCAAAATTTTGAATATCCATTAAGCTCATAAAAAGCGAAATTGACATAAGATTCCATTCAAAACTTGGTACATCTCAATATTGCCATCAACACAAGATCTTTTATAAAGATGATAGAGATCGGACATTATCAAGATTTTGAAAAACAAAACGATCAAAGAAAACGAAATAAGCATCCAACTCTCTTAAAATTTTACACATACAAAAATTGTTGCTAACTCAAGATCTGTTGTGAAGATGCTATATATCTGTGAACCCCTACTGGCACCTCACCCACAAAGGGTTACAATTTTCAATACTTTTATCCGCCATAAAATGCGAAACCACTCAGCGATTTTTTACAACTTGCTATATCTAAATATATGTCTCTCAACCAGAAACCTGAGATAAATATGGAATTTACGATTTCCCATAAATGGGATATAAATGTTCGATTTTCTTATAATTTTGGCCATACCAATATTTTTTTCTGTATTAGATGAAGCATGAAAATGGAATACTTCGGTCGACTAAATCTGGTACTTCACGCACAAGTTAACATTTTCTAAAATTTATCACATATCTCATATAAAGTGAAGAGGTAGTCGTTATTGACCAAATCTGGCACTTGGCATTATTTATATCATATTTATTTTGGTCCGATACGAAATTTGCAATATTGGCCAATTCTTTCAAACCCCACTCCATAGAGGGTCAAGAGTTTGAATAATTATAACAGAAGTCAAAATATATTTAAATAATCGAACATTGGCTGAGGGTACACATCTGTCTGCAAAATCGACCGATACTTTCTTACTTGTTTAATTTTCTCTTTGAGTTCTCTCATTTGTGGGTATTTTTAATTTCGTGTGTGAAATCTAGCACATCGGAGCTCTGGTATTATCGTTTGTCGATGCCTGCGATTTCTTTAATTTAAAATTAGTTTTTTTTGGGTTTCAAAAACATTTGGCTGGCAACAACTGCCTTTAAGAGATTTTCTGTGATTTTTTTTTTTTTGTAGAAAGTGTTCAATCTGTATAAAGGTTTTGTGACCTTTTACTTTTCTTTGGATCATCTAATATTTTTTCAAGATGGTCGGCCTTTTTTAAAACTGACTTTTAAAATGTCTTTAATTAGAACAGTGTTGGCTTGTTTTTTCGGGATACCGTAGTATTTTGTTGTTGCAAAATGGTCAGGCTTTATCCCTTTATTGTTGTTTTTATAAAACAACGTTTTTAATTAAACTGAAAATATATTTTTTGGGAAACAGATTTATAAAATATCTTAAGCCAACCGGCTCTTAAGAGGATAATATAACATCCCTTATAAAATTAGAAAAAAAAAGTCTTATATATATTGAAATAGGAGCAATATATTCTTGATATCAGTCAATATTTTCTTTTATAATTATTTTGTGGAACTCATAAATCTCATCTAAAACATATTGAAATACAGGTTCGGGGAGGCTCTTTAATTATCAATTAAAAAATTTAAATATTTGCAAGGCTACTGCCTATATTTCCGATATGCTAATTAACTTCCAATTGACCAAAAAAACCCTAATCGTTAATGTCCTGTCAAAACTGTCTCACATAATGATGTTCCCCCTTGTCTATTGAAAGGAAATATTAAATTTATAATAATAATATGCAACTACACGCTCCATTTTACATGATATTTGAAAAAAATGAATAACAATACAAAAAAACTAACTTGAAAATTAATAATGTCATAACAGGAAATTGAAATGTTAATATTAGTTATGGCTTTAATATTAACAAAAATTTATCAACAGCAAACAAGTCGCACACAAACACACAACAATTAAATAAACAACTCTACAAAAATTCACATATATACACATAGGTATATATTTGTGTTATGCCAAAATGGGCAAACTATTAAATACACAATAAAATCGGAATAATTGATCATCAATAAAATATACGTATGTATTTGTTTAATTATTGCCTTAAACTATCATGAATAGTTTTAAAATACATGAATTTCAAAACGAACAACAGAGAAAAAATACAAAAACAAAACTGGCAAAATACCAGACAAACATACCATAAATGCCATAACTCTAGTTTAATTATTTATCAATAACAATAATAATACACTAAAATATTAATTATTAATGAAAAAACATAGGGAAATATGCCAAACATTTTATGTAATTGTATTTTCAATATTTATATTTGTATACATTTTTCTTCTCTTAAATTATTTTTGTTGTTGTGAAAAGCAAAAAAAAAACAACTACTCTTCTTTCTATACCAAATGATATTAATACAAGTTTCTTTTTATGTCTCCCTTCCCTTTGAATACCACACTCTAAAACCAAACCAAACAACCCAAATAAAAACAAACACTTCAACACCACCACCACCTTCACCTTTGGCGAAAATAACGACCACCACCACCACGACCATACGATACAAATTCAAAATTTTGTATAATTTTGAAATTACTGAAAACAAAATTATTGCGCCCTTGTCTGTCGTCAACGAAATTGCTCGCAACAACAACAGGTGTCTCATGTCAAAATCGATTCACCTGTATTTCGCCTACACACAAATGCAACCGTTATATTATTAATAACATTTTCAATTGCTGTTACAACGCGTCAATACGTAGGAAATCCAATAGACTGTGTACATACGAGGTAAGTTTTGAAGTTTCAAATCAGTGTGTCCGTTCGAACATGCAACACCATCCACCTTAGATAACCCCAAATGTAGTTGTATTCGGTAGCAGCATTCATACATTAATATTTTTAAGCAGCATTCATTAAAAACTTATATAAAATCTTAAAAAAAAAGAAACATTCATAACCACTTCTTTCTTTTCCAAATATTTCCCCCTATCCGAAACGAAAACCGCCAACCATCATACGCAGAGACATTCCGGAAGATGTACTTAATACATATTGTTGGATACATTCAACATATACAGTGGTGGATGCTTTTATGAAAAAGCAAGGTTCCGAGGTGCCTTTTCCTGGGGTTCATAATTCACAGGGACGTGGACCTCTAACAATAAAACATACAAAATATTATCAATGGGTGGCGTTTACGCTATTTTTTCAGGTGAGTACTAAAAACTGTTTTATATTTTCCTCTCACATATTTGTCGATAACATTTGGTAAGGCAAATAACGCCAAATTCGGAAGGTAATACGGTGCGATGTAGTCAAGACACAAACCACCATTATGTTGTGGATTTGTTGAGAAGATAACAACATGCACTGTTAAAACGACAGATAACACCAGATTTTTCGAAAATAGCTACCTATTTATCGACATACTGTTTATAAAATGTATTTAAAATTGTGCTGTAAAGCAGAACAACATTTATCGTCGATAAAATCGTATTATTATAAAAATAACGTTTAACGCATCAGTCCTGCTTTGACTTTTATATATTCCATCAGAGATGATCTGTTTGACAGTTTTTTTTAGTTTTTCGGCTGTCGAAAAGTTGTATAAAACATAGAAAAGGTACAAAACGTCATACACTTTTAAAATAATAATACATATCAAGTTGGTTGATAAACGTTTAGGTTGTGTTATTGAAACCACGCTGATCTTAATAAGGAAAGTATAAAATTTTTTAGGTTTACGGCTTTTTCGAAGTATGTACGATATGTCGGAAAAGTATGTATGTATGTCTGGTAAATATTGAAACAATGCCACTGAATAGTGGTGGCGCCCAACGACAAAAATGACAAATCATTGTCACATTGAAAATTAAAAGAAAAAAATATTTTGAACACTCCGAATTATATGACACTCAGCTGGTTTTTACAATTGTTTGGTGTTTCTTAGGAAATATCCATTTTCTATTGTAACTTAAAATTATTTTGTTATAACAGATTACTTTCTGCTCTTCTTCGAGACGACTTTCTGCTCTTCTACCAGAAGATCTTCTTACCTTCTACGAGTAGACGAGAAGAAGAGAAGATTCCTAAACAGTTTAACCCTTTTGTCACTTCAGAAAATATTTTCAAAATATTGAATTTACAACCTCCTTTTCATGAAATGAACGTGGCACCGTCGCAGCAATTGGGTTAAGGAACGGAAAGTGTTGATGCCTTATGAATCCTTAAAGGCTACATGTCCACAATATCGATTTTGGAAGACAATTTTTGAAGGACATACTGATATTATTTCATGCTGTTCCCGACGGTAAATCTTGGGTATTTTGTTAGAAAATTTTTACGGACTTCGCTCCAAAAAATTGCAATTATTAAGACCTTCCCGGAAAATAGTTATGGTCAATAATTTTTAAGACTTTCAAATATTTTTAAGACTTTTGCACATTTTAGGAATTTTTATAAGAAACCTTTTTTAAGAAATGATTTGTAAAAAATTCTGGATTTTTTATTATTTTATTCGAGTGTTTTCTGACCAAAAATATAGCAATTTTTTTTTAAAATTTAAAAATTTTTGAATTCTTTGTAAAGATCTTGTAAGATTGTATTTGCATTTTTTTCCAAGAGCTCCTGTGAAAAAATTGATCAAGATTTTGAAAGACATTTTTTGTTGTTATCCTGAAATTTTATTTTTGTATGACAAGCCGCCGGGAAAAGGAATTCGGAACAAAAACAAAAAAAAAAAATAATCACGATATTATGGGATGGGACGATATTATCCATTTTAGCACCTGATCAGCAAAGTTTGAACAAAACAGTAAGTCAGCCAGATAGCCCTGAAAGGAATTTCGTACCAAAAATCGTTGTTTCGATGAGGCTCGTTTTGGTCATATTACATGATACATACCCTGTGTAGCCATACGGTTGAGAGTATAAAAAATAGATTTTGGACGTAGGGTCTAAAATCGTAATTTCGATTAGTCACGGTATGCTCGTGTTAAACGATATGTACCATCTGTAATTATATGACTAAAGGAATAAAAAATAGGCACTACTTCGCAAAACAATTTGTTTTTTTTTTAAATTATTCCTGAAGGACTTCATGCCAAAACTATTTTAAAATATGTTTAGGTACTTTCTACCTTAAATATTGTAAT